ATACGCTTTCATAAATCCTTGAAGCAAGTGATGGAGTCAATGTACCCTTTAATGTACCTCAGCATAAACCCTTTTAACCATTGATGACCTCCATAAACGCTTCTAGGTACTCTTTGTAAGTCGTGAATGAGGGTATCTAACTATCATCAACCCTTTTTCAATGGGTTTTTGAAGGTTGTATGCCAACGTTTATTACACTTATCAACCCTTTTCATGGGTTTATGAAAGTGCAACGTATAGCAAACCCTTTAGAGGTTTATGAGCACTATCAACCCTTTCACAAACCTTTCAAAGTCAGTATTTGAGATTCATAAACCCCATGATAATCCCTTTTTCCAGGGTTTATGGAAAGGTTTATGACGCTTTAATAAATCCTTAAAAAGGGTTCTTTATACGTTGCACTTTTATAAATCCTTTTTTCGTTTTCTATTCTACTCTTTTTTTTTACAGTGTACGGTTCGATAACATCCATCCAGATCTTCCAATAAGTTCATTATTACTGCTTGAGCATGTCCAGCACCTGCCATCGATTCTTGCTCACCAGTATAGATTACATAGTTCCAAGTGTATCCATTGGTAGCCGCTAATTCGTACATCTTTATACCGTACTTGTGCGCTTTACCAGGTACATATTGCCTGAATAAAAGCCTGCCTCGCCATAGTATCATACTTTCGTCAATGTTAATAACTGAGCCAGGCATATATACTGATGAAAACCTCTCTTTCAGTAAATCGGAGAGTGGTTTCAATTTGAACAGCCTGTCTTGGTTCGAATTCTTGTTATTGTTGTTCGAAAAATGCCAAAAGTTGAGGAGTAATTCGAACCTCTCTCTCGGCATAGCGCTCCGAATAATCTCCAACCCATACAAGTGACTGCTGCTCCAGTAATGGTTCAGCTGCGGCATATGTACCAACCCCATCTCGATAATGATCCCAAAGAACTTGAGCATTTCTTCATGAGTGGTTGGTTTCCCTTCACGATATTTGGACCGTCTGCTAATCTCATGGGCTTGTAAATATTGCTCCGCATATCGATTAGTCTCACGAACCATAAGATCGATAATTTCGTCTGTGATGAAATGTCGGTAACAATCGATAGGATTGACTATATTATCCTCCGAAGCAGAAGTTACTTCTTCGACGAGTCCATGATCTTCCATAAATTCTGCATCCGATTCCGATTCTATTTCGTTCCAGACGTTTGAACCCACCTCGTTATCAGACATTTCTTCGTCGGAGCTTCCAGATTCAAGGTGCATTCTATCCAGATCATCATCCAAAAAACTTAGTTCACTAAGTGAGCTAGCGCTTTCTTCTGTATCAACTTCTTCGAACGACATGTGAACTATGTCGAAATTTCGGCTGCTTTTATATATAGAAGGACAGAGAGAAGAGTAAGGAAGAAAAAACTGGAAATTTCCTTCTCTTATCTTACGTATACTATGTATAAAACATAAAAGAATGAAAAAATAACTTGAGGGATTTTTCGTATGATCGCAAAAAAATGACTCATTATGCGATAATACAAAGAAGAGAACAATGAATAAGCGGTAGAAGATAATGAAAAGGTCACTAAGTGCATTTATTAGAAGTTAACTTTTGACAGAAATGGATATTTCGAAGAATTTTCCAAGAACACTGAACCGTGGTGAATGTGTTAAACCACTTCAAGTAGCCTACTTTGCCGTACTTTAGCATACTTTTCTACTTCAAGTACGCTGTTTCCCCCTTGGACTTTTCGCTACATCTCGTACGAAATTTCCAAAGTGCCCTATATTATGCTAAGTAGAGAAACTGTGCTAGATGTTACTTAATAGCATCAGTAAAGATTGCCCACTAATTGTATTTTCTATTCTCAGAAGAGAACATTATTTATCTAGAAAGTGTTGTCGCCAGGTTGCTGGTGCCATATGGTTCATCGACTGACATGTTGAACTTTAAGCTAGTGTCCTGCGGGAACGACTTTTTCTGATTCCCATTCCCTATTCCCTAAAAACAAATTTTTGTTCCCATTCCCTTTTTCCCATTCCCTAAAAAAATTTTTTGTTCCCATTCCCACGTTCCCATTCCCATAATTCCCATAAGGTTTTCTAAGGCTCTATTCATCCATGCGAAAGTTTCATTGGCATATATGTATACCAGTTTCTTGCGACATCACGTTTTGCGCATCGCGACGCTGTTACATAGTGCTTCACTTCTTTTCTTTTTCTGTTTTGTTGTTCTTGTTGGCATTGGTTAAGCAGGTGTTCCTGCGTATATGCGCTATACATATACATTCAAGCTGGTGTCCCTTTTCATTAAAAAAGTGTTCATCGTCTAATTAGAAAATGTATAGTCAACATAGTGCTCATCATATAGAGAGAATGTTCCTCTTATAGTAAAGTGTTCCCCTCTCCTCACCCAAATAGAAAATTAAAAAAATTATAAATAAATATTGAGATTATTTATTGATAAATCATATGTTTTTTGTTGTAAATAACCTTAATATTTATTTATTACTTTTTTTAATTTTCTATTTGTGGGAAGGGAGAGAAACACTTTACCGTAAGAGAAATATTCTCTCTATATGATGAACACTATGTTGACTATACATTTTCTTATTAGACGATGGAACACTTTTTTAATGAAAAGGAACACCAGCTTGAATGTATAGTGCATATACGAAGGAACACCTGCTTAACCAATGCCCACATTTGTTATTTTTCTGTTAATTGTATATGAATAAGAAAAGTTATTGAAAATAAATAGTTATCAGATAGAAATATTTTTATGTGTATTGAAATAAGATAGAAAGAATTTTGGGAACGTCAATTTTTAATTCTGTTCCCATTCCCTAAGTCTGAATGGGAATGGGAAAATTAGGGAAAAAAGTCGTTCTCGCAGGACACTACCCACGACACATCCGACACACTCGACACATTCTGAAATCGCAGTTCGAGCCTATGTTTCACCGTATCTAGAATTGTTTTTCTTTGATGCATTATATCCATCAATATTTAATTAGTACAATTAACATCAGTGTTTGATGCAACATTGTTAAAAAGTCTGATCTTGAGATCCAACCGTGCAAGACTAGTCAGATCTTGATCAGACTACTGCCAGGTAGATCTCTCTTAAAGTGGGGTCATTATTTCTCGAAATATTCACAAGAAATATATAATCGACAAATATATTATATAGAATGATGCATGAAAACTTATGATTCTCGTGTGATAGTTCAGATAGATTATATATAGACATACACACGAAACAAAATGGTGAATGAACAGTCGTCATATATGTACAGAACGGTTAAAAATACGACACATTAAAGTGCGACACATTTTCTTGCTGGAACCCACAATACTATAATTTACGACGGAAAAAGTCGACACATTTTAGCTTAGAGTGTACCTTATGTTTTGTTCAATTGAACAATTTGAAAGAAAAAAAAACATTCTAAAATCAAATCTAGCTTCAGGTAAATATTGCAATTGACTAATCTACAAGTGAAAAATAGAAATGATAATTTTCAAGATAAAGTTACCTTACAAATGGTTCAGTTGGACAATGTGAAAGAAACCAATGATACTTATCCTAAATTTACGTTGATATAAATATTTTGTGTGAACAGCCTACAATAGAAAAAAATGAAAATGATATTTTTAAAGGTTAGACTACCTGACAGTGTTCGGTTGAAGAATCTGCAAGGAAAAAGTTTCAATTTCACATTTGCATTGAAATAAATCTTGCATTCGATGGACCTTTGTGAGGACACTTACACTATATCAAATAAGTATAATTTTGAAAATTGAACTGTATTGGTAAATTGTTGATTGAGAATATGAAAAAGAAAAAGAAGAAAAAGTGTATAGTTCAGTTGTTAAATTTTTTTGTATGAATGTTTTATAACTGAAAGATGAATGGAACGATATGTTTTATTTATTTACTAGGTTGCAACGTTTTGTTTCAAACGATTTGAACATGAACTAATTGAGTATTTAGATGGTTGCTCTGATATGCTATATTATAGTTAGGAGGAAGCGAAGCATGATAGTGTCAATATTGTTTGTTTATCATTTGACATGGTCAATTTTTGAAGATTGATAAGTGAACATGAAGATTTGATGAACTGAGTCTGATTATTAGTGTTAGAGATCATTTATTTCTGGAAGGGAGAACTAATGAAAAGACTTAATTACCTCAAAATGCGTATAAGTATTAACATCACAATTATATTATGATTGTCGTGTTTTTTAATTTCTTCGGTTTCTTCGTACTGGACTTATTTTTCATAGTTAGAAAGAAAACTTTTTGTATGACGAGATCGTAATTATTATGTGAAAACTTTTCGTATGATTATGTATAATTGGATTTGTTTTGGTGAATGATCTAAATTGATTGTATCGTAAAATGTTGTAATATATAACTTTTTTTTAAACAGGAAAGCAAGAAGTAGTGATAGTGATAAAAATAAAATAGGTCAATTTATTAATAAAAGTATTCGAAAATGTTTTACTAAAACAGCTTCTAATTGAACGCAGCTCAGCCTGATATGTATAAGTATATATATACAGTGTTAGTCTATTGACTAACACACTCTACTTTTATTCTTTTTTTTCTTCTCAAGAAAAACAAAACAAAAAAACTAACTACTCATCACAATTGGTTCACCTATCTATTCCTTATGGATCACACAGATGACCAATCAATAGAATAGAAGGAAAAGAAGAAAAAGGAGGTAGTGGACAAAAGATAGCGCCACTACCTAACATCTCCGCCCCTTATCAGTGAACGGTTTTATCTGTTCACGAAGAGATAGCAACAAACAAAGAGATAGAAAATAAAACAAATAAAAGAAACGAGAGGTGTAATAACGTCATCATTGAGAATAAAAAAAAATATATAGTACTTGTGAAAAAAAAATAGATGAGGGTGAACAGTAATAATTGTTGATGTTTTTTTTTTTTGAGATATGGTTTGAGTTCTATAAAAGTATAAGTTCATCAAGAGATAATATGTTAATTGATGGATCGTATGTCATGTAGAGGTACTTGTGCTTGATGACCGGATTTATCATTTCGTACAATATATGTTTTATCATGTAATCTATCGATAATGATGTATAGTCCAATGAATCTTGGAGAGAACTTATTAATATGTGGATTTCGATTACGAATTAAAACAGATTGACCAACAGAGTATTGAGTATTCGAACGGTGTCGATCATAACGTTCTTTGGAGGATTTTTGATGTCGAAGATTATTTTTTCGAGCAGCAATTTTTACATGTTCAACGAATTGTTGCATAGTATGATGATAGTGAGGAACATTAAGAGGATTTGATGAAGATGATAAGGATAAATCAGCTATAAAACGAGGTTGATGAGCAAACATTAACTCGAGGGTGTGTGTGGG